ATGAGCCATTAAAAGGCCCAAAGAGAAGTGAATAGAGCAGTGATGGCAAACCTATGACACGCATGTCAGTGTTGACACGCGAGCTCATTATAAAAAAGAATATGCAAATTGACTATTTGTAGATGAAACTGGTAATTTTTCAAAATAATACTTAGACTCAAAAATGGCGGGTTGGCTGTCCTTGTTCATCTTTCATTTCTTGAACCACTATGCATGCTGTTTCTGGCGAGTGCATTGGCTTGGAATGTGGGGGTTGAGCCTGCTTCCACGTAGCCCCATTGGATACGGGAATGACAGAATCACTTGTGGTTCTGTTATTCCTGATTTATGTTATACAATATTTATCTTTTCTTGTGATTTTCTATCCAATTTTTTATCAAGACAAAACACAAGCACTACAGTAAAATCCTCAGGTGCATGTGTGAAAGTAGCAATTCACGTTAGATTTGAATCGCTGGTGAAATACGTTCTCAGGAAGTTTATTCCACATAAAACCAGTTCTCCAAATGAGAGAGTTCTGAAACAGTGGAGTTCGAGGTGTACTGAGTTGAACCTCAAAACGATGAGCTATCACAGTTTGCCGCGTATTTCTGATATGTACTGCTCTTGGTGGAATCAAATGTCACAAATGGAGTGGCATACTTGAAGACTGGCTGTAAATCAAATTATTTAAAAGAACAATACGTTCAGGCCAGTTTCAAATCACCGAAATTCCCCTGGCTACTACCACGAAAGGCGTTGGATTATATCCGACGGATTGTTCTTTTAGATAATTTGATTTACAGCCGGTCTCCAAGTGTGCCCACTCAATTTGTGGAATTTTCTTCCTTAAACGAGAAATTGGGCAAATTACGGATATGTGGTTACCTCGTTCACAGGCAGATGGTGCGATGACAAACCTGTGCTTGTTGTTCGCTTCAGCCTAGTTCGAGGAATGATACTATGAAAAAATTCGATTTTCAATGACCGGAAATCATCGACTTTATGTTGATGATAGATACTATCTTGCACTGATGAGTGGCCAAACAGCCTGAAACCAGTCTGCAAGTATGTTCCAATAATTGAAAATATATTGCGGCACTTGTATCGCCAACAGCATATGCAGGAATAACTTCATTGAAGAATCCTGCACTGACACCTGTCGGATATAATCCAACGCCCTTCGTGGTAATAGCCAGGGAAGTAGTTGTTTTCTGATAGGTGTCAGTCTATTAACCTACAGTGTAGATAATTTGAGAATGACTTGAACGGACTGTTCTTTTAGATAAAATGGAATCCAATGTGCCAAGTCACTTGAACACCTCCCATGAAAGTATTTATAAAAGAGTGACAAATCTCCAACCTTTCTTTCTTCGATGTTGCGGACTATCAAGGTTGCGAGAGATGTTCGTGTCTCCAATCAGGCAAATGGCTCTTTTCCGGATGAAATCCAGCAGCTTCAGGCTATGCTTAGGGGCGGAGCTTCATACATTAGAACATTAATCCAAAGAAGGTCTGATCTGAGCTTTAATAAGCATCGAAAGTTGCTGAGGTGTGTAAAGTTTTCTGGTTGGTAACAGTGTTCCAAGCTTTTGAGAAGCAACTTTTACAATTCCAGCGACATGATTGTGCCAAGACATATTTTTCCACTCAGGAAGAATAAAGTTGTTGGAAATGCCTGAACTGAACTATAGAAAATATTGGTTTTGCATTAGCTTACCTTCTATTTTATGTAATGAGGGCCAGGAGGGGAACACTCTATGTATAATTTCAATAAAATTTCAATGATCTCCATAAGGATTGAGTGGGAAATGGATAAAAATACCAGCGTGGTCCAAACAGAACTGGCTGGTATCTCAATTGCCACAAAAGAAATAACCAAGAAAGGAATTTCTGGCAAAAATAGAAAGAAATTTCCAAAAAAAGGAAATGAGCAGTTTAGTTCAAAATAAACTTTTAACAATTATGTACACATCATGCACATGCACCTTTATTTCTTCTCATATTTTTTTATATCATTTTTCACTGTTTTCAACTTTTAGATTCAAAATTTTTCAGACAACGAAAGTCCGAACCTCTGAAAATCAACAAGAAACATTATCCAGCACAATCTGAAGATAATAAGAGTATTGTGACACATTGATAAATTAAGTGTCTTAAACAAATTCATTTCCAACAATATTTCACTAATCACAAACTAATTTATTTTACACCACTTAGCAACTAAAGCTTAATTTATTTTCACTATTTGAATTTCTTGTTTAGCCGCTCTATTCACTTTCTGAACTGCCCTCTTGGGTCGGAAAGACGTGCTTATATCGGTAACGGTTCTTTCTAGAAATATGTAGGTACGGGGCTGCTTCAGATTTGTTACAGTATGTAGACAAAATAGAAGTATAATAACATCGGACTACTTATATTAAATGGAAGTTAC